TCGATAATATCCTAAAAGCATTTAACATACCTAGCTTACAAAACATCATAGCTTGGCCTGGTTTACCTTAAATTTGAACCTATATCCCTTCGCTTTTGTGGGAAACAAAGCATCAACTATATGGCCTGCTTTATAAGTCAATCTTGACTATCTCTTGCAACTTATTGGACACATACTTTGAAGAAGCAATGTGCCACATTTGTTTTTATCACCCTGGTAATATGATTGACCTAGTCAGTCGCTCCTTGTGGCTGCATCTTGCCAGTCAGAGTAAAAAGCCAATATTCAGAATGCAAAGTCAGATTTCTTTCGACAGGTATTGCTTTTGTGGCAGTGTAATGTTGAAGTGTGTGTATGCATTTGGTATATGTATTATGTATGTATGCATGTTTGCACATGTGTGTGTGTTGTGTGTGTGTAAACCAGTGGTAGATATCTGGTATCTTCCTCCATGGCTTTCAGCTTGTTTTTGAGACAAGGTCTTCTACTGTTGTAATAAGAGTGGTGGGGCTGCGTCCCCAGCACCCCGGCTGCCTGGCTAGCTTATGCCCCAAAATAACAACTCACAAATTGTATTCATTTAAACACTGCTTGGCCCTTTAGCTCTAGTCCTACTGGCTAATTCTGATATGCCGATCAACCCATCTCTAATAATCTGTTAGCACCGGTCTTAGTGAGCACCGGTCTTACCGGGAAGATTCTAGCTTATGTCCATCCTGGGTCGGAGCTTCATCGTGTGTGCCTCAGAGAGCAGAGCTATCCCTGCATCCACCCAGGAGAGGGGAGCATGGTGTCTCTGCTCCAGAGAGCAGAGCTGTCAAGTCTGAGCTCACTTCCTCTTCCTCCCAGCATTCTGTTCTGTTTACTCCTCCCACCTATGTTTTAACCTATGAGGCCAAGTAGTTTCTTTATTACTTAACCAATGACCTTCCTCCATCATTCTACTGAACCTAGAGTGCATCTGGGGAAGATTAGATGCCCAATTCTCTAGGGATCCTCCTGTCTCTGTCTCTTCAACACTAAGATGATAGGAATAGGCCACCCCATTTTATGTGAGTATCAGGGACCTGAACTCTGGTCCTCATGCTTGCATGGTAAACACTTTACTGAATGAGCTATCTCCCCAGATTGAAAACTCCTAAGCAGAGCCATTGTAATTCAGACACTCATATTTATTCTTGGATTAATGAATATTTTATCATATAGCTAGTTTGCTTTTAATGTTCAAACACTAATGTTGTAGTCAATGTTCCCTACTTTCTGGTTTCTCACTGGCTTTCAAATTCCCTATGTCTCTGCATAATTCCTTAGCTTCACACTGTCTATTCCCTGTCTTGACTGGATTCCAGGTGCTGTTCCCTCCACACCCATGCCCACAGTCAGACACACACACTGCTGGCCCACTGACTCAGCACTTGAGAGAGGCTTTTCATCATCCTCCACCTGAGACTATTTTCCTTCTCTCCTTCCTCAAGGTGAAGACGAACTGACCCTCCCTGGGGACCGGCTCAGGACGCCCAGGCTCCTCACCAGCATGATCAACAACAAAAAGACACCAAGCATATGTAGATCTTGCATAGCTTTTTACGTGTAATGGCCCTTTAAATGATCAGTTCCTTTTCCTAGCTGAAATATTTACGGATGTTAATTTTCCTATTATTTACTTTGCAGCTTCCCTGTCTTCCCTCTGTGTGCTAGCTCTAATTCTGGGGTGCCAGGAGAAATGTCTAGTAAAGTGAGCTTTGGACCTCCACAGTTCTCACGATGAGCCCCTTCACACCCCTAAAAAGATCTCTAAGTGTGGGTAAGACAGTAAATCTGTGCTCTTTTAAACTGGGATGTATAGAGCCGGGGAGATGGCCCAGAGGTTAGCAGCATCTGTTCTTGCAAAGGGCCAGGTTTTGATTTACTGCGCACACAAACTGATGTTTATGAGCTTTTCTTTTGAGATATTTCTCATTTAAGTCCTGTTTGCGCTTTGTTTTTCCGAGTTCTGGATGTGAGATAGTTGACTTCAGTGAAAGTATCATCCACATTTAACATGCATCATCTGCTGCTGTTCACTTACTTCAGGTATGGATGTCCTGACTTTTCAATCAATTGTTCCCAGCAACCATGGAGGGTGACTCACCACCACCTGTCATTCCAGCTCCAAAGAATCTAACACTCTCTTCTGGACCCCTTTGGCAGCTGTATTCAAAGGTGGGCACGCCCCCACCCCAACTGTGGCACACATATGCCTATAATTTAAAATGAATTTCAATAATAATAATAAAATTAAGCACATAGTATGTGGGAAGGTCTGTGATGGGGTGGGGGACAGGCCAGATATGCTGGCACACACATCTATAATCCCAGCATGCAGAAAGTGAAGAAATCAAGATCAGGAATTTAAGGGCAGCTTGGGTTGACCCTGTCTCAAAAAACAAAACAAAACAAAAACAAAAACAAAAAAAAAACCCCAACAAATAAAAAAAGCCCAGAGTGTTGGGAGATGGTAACATTCTGGTTAAGAGAACTGGAGAGGGCTTTCTGTAGCTGGGGATTTGAGTTGGTGTTATGTAAATTTCCTCTAGAATTAAAACAGCCCATCCTTCAGGGAAGCTCCTTAAGCAGGAAGATACACAATTCAAAATAGTTTCAGGAAGTCCCTGAAATTGACCAGATTCACTAAGTCCCTCCCTGCCAGAGGAAGCAATTAAAAACTGAGAGTCCTTCTCAGAGGAACAGGGCCAAGCCAGAAAGTAGACTGTGAGACCAGACCAGTTGTCTGGAAGAAGCAGAAACCAGCTGAGCTGCCTGGAAGAGGTTTGGACCAACTGAGGCACCTGAAAAGGACCCTCTCCCACCTGTCAAGCTGCGTGCAAGCTGTGCACTGCAACACAAGTTCCCAGCTTTGTGACCTATCACTCAGGCTGCGGTGGGCTTTGGAGATGCAGCCATCTTTGAATCATTTCTGCTTCTATAACCCCCATTCATACTCCTGTAAGTAACCCCAATAAAACTCACTGGTTACCAAGCTGGCCTTGGTGGGATGTGTACTTTCATCAGTCAAGGTTCTCTGTTTGGGCTGAGCAGACCTGTGTGTTGCATCTTCCCAGGAAATGTTTTGTCTCACAACACCTGGGTCTTGGTAGATCGATCACATCACAGCAGGTTACAACCTTACAAGCCTTGGGAAAAGGAAAAGGAGAAAGGAAGGTATTGCATGCAGTTAGGCTGACATTCTGAGAACCGCCAATATATACCATCCCTCCTCCCCTGTTTTGTTTGGAATACACGAATTAACAAAACAAAGAGTAGCAGATGGTGCCCACAGTGTCACCTTCATTATTGATAAAGGTAAAACGCTGGAGGAGTCCCCCTAAGAGGAAAGGCCAACGGCAAGGAACAGCTCCACCACAGGTGACTTGGATTGTTCCAGCGCAATGCTCAGCCGTTGGAACTGCCACTCAGCGTCTGAACGTCATCAGCTGAACTTTTCAGCTCTGATACTCAAGGTTGCTGGGTAAAAACAAATGGCACTTAAAGGTGAATTAGTCATTTACAATCGTTTATTTTGGACTATCCTCTTCCCGCCCACCCTCCCAACACACAAAAAGCATCCTAGGTTATTCAACCTAATCGCCTAAAGTGAGCGGCAATTCCATTCCATGACAATTCATGCGGCTCTTCATATTGCACAGGATCCTCTTGGGTTGCTTTAATTTGGGAGGTTCTAAAAGTTAAGATGAGTGAGACTCAATTTCCAGAGTTCTCTACGTACTAATCATGTTGGACAAACAGTCAGCTTTACTTGGAATCAGGTTGCTGGGATCTAGATCTGCGCTCTGGAGTTATTTAGAGGCTGGGGTTTAGGTAGCTGCATGGACGGTTGGGGCCAGTGGAGTCTGGTGGTGGGAAGTGGGGAGTACCAGTCAGCTACCTTAAACATCTGGTTTACATGGAAGGAAGGGGCATGTGTAGTGGAGAAAATGAGGTACAGAGGTGTAGGGAAAAGTGAAGGGTGAGGAGCAAGGGCTTCTCGAGGTTGCAGGTTCCTGAAGAAGACTGCTTCAGAAGGAGCCCAAGTTTCCCAAGCCGAATCATTCCCAGCATTCCTGCAGACAAACTGCAAATTCAGCACTTCCTGCTGTGCATGCCCTCCTGCGAGCTTTTGTCGTGGCAGCAGTGGATCTGTCATTCTGGGCACGGATTTCTATTCAAACCAAGAACGAAGGGCACAAATATTCAACACACACACACACACACACGCACGCACGCACGCACGCACGCACGCGCGCAGCTGCCAACTGTTCAGTGCTTTCTAGACTTCTCACTACAACTCTTCAAGGTCAACATTCGCGTCCTCACCACTGTCCAGACAGGGAAAGGAGGCTCAGCAAGGGAAGTGGTCTTAGTCAGTTGGGAACTTTTGGCTCTCCGCCTTTGAGGTGCGCTCTTCAGGCCCTTTCCAGAAGACCAGGAAGAGCAGGGCATGCCTGCTCTGGTAGGAGAGGGGCAGGGAAAAGCTGCTGGAGAGGTGTGGGCGTTTGTGGTTATTGCTTGGGTCATCTCTTGGGCTACATTGGAGTTTAAGTGTGAGTGTTATGTGAGCTGAAATATGTGTAAGTCTGGGGGAGGAGTAGAAATTGGTTCTTGAGCCACGTGAATATGTGAGTTGAAGCTTTGATGATTTTAAAAAAAAAACCGAGAAGGCTCGACTTTTATGCACAATTGAGAGAGAGAGAGAGAGAGAGAGAGAGAGAGAGAGAGAGAGATGCTATGTTGGGGTGCTGGTGGGGAGACAACAACACCTTTGGATCATATACTCAGAATGCGGTTGCTGGACTATGTGTTCGTGTGTGCACATGGGAGTTGGGACGTCAGAGACCTGGGGGACGCGCCCCGCCCTCCGCTGCAGGTGGGCCGGGCCGGCCGCGGGGCCGCAGCGCTTGCAGCTCTTGGCTGGCCGCCGCGCTGGGCTAGCAGGGCTGGGCTGGGGCTGCGGGGCGGCGCCGGGACAGGAAGCGGAAAGCAGCGGAGAGCGGCGACCGCGGCGGGGCTGTGCCTCCACTGCAGCCCAGCGCAGGCCGCGGAGCCGGGGCGCTGCAGCAAGAACGCGGGCGTGGAGCGCTGCTGGCCGGCGCCAGGGTGAGTCCGGGAGAAGCGGGCGCGGCGCGGCGCGGCGGCGGGGGACTGAGCTGGGCGGGAGGTCAGGCCCAACTACGCTTGTCCCTGTTCCCCAGCACTCCGATCGGGGTTCGGGGCCTCGGGCAGGAGCCCCCGGGCCGCTTCGGGTCGCGCTTCCCCGTACCTGGGTCCTTCCATCCCTGTCCCGAGGTCTCTCCGAGTCCCGGGGCTGCCTATGCTACCTCGGACGTCCCTTTGCCTTGGCTAGCCTTTGGAGTGCGCCTCTGGGTGCGCATGCCGGGGCAGCAGCGGGTAAATGACGGCGTGTCTGAGGCAGCGGGCGGCAAGATGCGCCGCGCAGGGCAGGACACGATCGGGGTCTACGCCAGCGCCCGGGGTCACCTAGCCGGTACTCGGGTACCGGGACCGAGTTGGCTTAGGTTTCACATTTCACTCACAAAACCGCAGCCCTGCAGGCCTGGGGGGCGCGGCCCGCTGCGCCTCGCGGAGCGCAACAGGCAGGTAGGAGTTTACTTTCAAAAGCGCCGGGGCGGAGCAGAGGCGTGCAGCCATTCCCAGCCCGAGGAGGAGTCCCTGTCCGGGGCTACCTCGCCGTGCCGGGGAAGCACCGGTAGGACCTCATTTCATCCCGCAGCCATTGAACTGCCCCCAAGCAACGCGCCCAGAGACCTGTGAAGCTTTATAAAAATTTAAAAGCGTCGGCGGTGGAAGCAGGAGTGGGGCGGAGCCACAGCTTGGCGGCTGGGTGATGAGCAGGGGAAACTTGGAGCCGGGCAATCTCCAAACCGGGTATGATGCCCACACTGGGAAGGTGAGCTCCTTCTGAAGCTCATGGGGAGATGTCAGGGCTATTTATCATGATGATTGTGTGGTTGGCGCGTGCGTTTCGTTAAAATCCTTTTGAGGGGACTATGGTAAGGATGCATGTGTTCTTACAAGCTAACTCCGAAAGCTAGCAAGCTTTGAGGATTAGTGTTTTCATTGACATGTTTATGCCTTTTACAGGGTTTGCTGAAAAATATTGTAAGATGTGTCACCAATCGACAATGTTAATTAGCCTTCTCCTTCCAGTGGGTGTGTTGATTACACAGCTCCTAGGCTCTGTAAGTGAGATGGCAGAAACTGTCTGAACCCAGGGAGGCATAATTAGTCATTTTATGGAACCACTAATTAGAGTTTTTAGAATTGAATTAAATCAGTGTGATATAGTTGGGGCTTTGATGTGTGGGAGGAAACTGTTTTATTCTGCATTTCAAAGAAATATCCAGGCGTGTTTAGCATTTCCAAAGGTTGATGACTCCTAGTATGATTAGCTAAAAACACCCAGTGTGAAAATTTTCAGAGTTGCAGCGCTGACGTTGTGACTTGGTGACAACTTAATTTGTAAATAAAATGGGAGAATTGTGAGAGTGTCATATTTTTGAGACTGCTTGCCAACTCTCGTTTTTATTGTCTTATTTATTGAGCAACAGGACGGAACCATACAGGAAATTGAAAAGTTTCCTTCCCGAGCAACAATTCCGTGACACCCTCTGTTGAAGAATTAATGTGTTGACTGTGGCGAATACTCTTTTGTTAATCCCCCTAAAGGCACACCCTACTTTGCCTCTGATGTAGTTTGGGTTGAATGGGTCCTGATTATACTGGTTAATAATCAGAGGTCTCACTTGGGATGGAGGCTGCTTGAGATGAACTTCCTTTCTCCTTAAAGTCCCAGTCCTGTCCATCCCCAAGCTCCACTTCCCCGCCCTACTGAGGCTATGAGTAGGCATTGAACTGCAGGATTGTTTGTAAGGTTATATGTGGCTTGGAAACAATTCACTATTGTTGCCTTCTCTAAGTAAACAAACAATTTTGGTAATTGCTACATATCTTTCAGTTTTCCTGGGCTCTCTAAAAGCAGACTCCAAGTTGAAGTGGGGGCGAGTCCTTGTGTCTGTGAGACCTTGTTTTCTTAACTGCACCATAACGTTCTGTTTTGTCCCCTTACACTTGTTCTGAGGATTGAGGTATTTCATGCAAGTGACCTCAGTCTTAACACACAGTAGGCACTTGTTGTCAGACTGGAACTGCCATCATTGCTGTGGCGGGAAGTGCCTGTGCCCAGCGCCTCTGCTGCACACTGGCTTGATTGCTCCGAAGCTGCCCATAAGGAGAACAAATTCAGAGGCTATGACTGGACTCCTTCTGATAGCTGTCTAGGTCCTCCTGGAGTCGGAAGAAAAGCCACCTGCATCTCTGCTGCTCTGTCTCCACCCATCTCCCACCCCAGTCCCACTTAGAGCACTGTACCTGGCACCGTGGAATATGTGGAGTGCATCAGATCTGTTTCTGGGGCTTCCGGATCCAGGAGGGGGCAAGGGTTTGCTTGAAAAAAAGATCCATCATAGACACAGTAACTATCCATCATAGACACAGTAACTATCCACAGCTCTTCATCAATCTGTATCCAGCTGCCGAGAGGTGTTCCAGAGGTGATTAAAGACTCACTTAATCACAGTTGGTCTGGGAGTGTGAGTTGAGCTCTGGCAAGCCAGGTAAAATGAGGCTGGCATTTTATTTCCCCGTGAACAGTGGCCCTCAGCCGTTCTCCTGTTGGGAGAGGGCCATTGCTTTGTCACAGATGCCTGAGCTCTGCAGAGCCTCCTGCCACCGTCTTGGATTCTGTTCTATGATTTACAGGTGCAAGCTCAGCAAGGTGTCTTAGCCACGCCCCTCTGCACCATTCTTCTGCACCTGAGAGCCTCCAAGTGAACCTGTACATGCTACTCTCTGGACCCCCTGTGCAGTAGCTTTTCTCCCTTCCCAAGCAGAGCCCCTGTAATTAACCGCTCTGGGTGGAAACTGTTGAGAGGTTCTTATAACTTCCTTTTCATAGAGGCTAGCTTCCGCTTACCACGGTCATTATCATAACCTGTTATTTCCCTTATATGATTGTTTTTTCCCTGAGCACTGTCTTTCTTTCAAGTAGGAGTCATGTATTTTATAGGAGTAAGTGTGACCTTAGGGGAAGATTCTCCTTGAGGTCACCAACTTTCACCTTGTTTTAGTCCAGGGTTGTTGTAATAGGAGCAGCGAGGCTGCGTCCCCGGCACCCGCCCGCCCGCCCGCATGGCTAGCTTATGCCCCGAAATAATCACATGGAAACTGTATTCTTTTAAACATTGCCTGACCCATTAGTTCCAGCCTCTTATTGGCTAGCTCTTACATATTGATCTAACCCATTTCTAATATCCCTGTAACACCACGAGGTGTCTTACCAGGGAGGATCTTAACCTGCGTCTGTGTCCCATAGGAGAATCATGGCGACTCCTTGACTCAGCTTCTTTCTCCCAGCATTCTGTTCTGTTTACTCCGCCTACCTAATTTTATGTCCTATTAAAGGGCCAAGGCAGTCTCTTTATTTAACCAATGGAATTAACACAAAACAGAAGACTCTCCCCCATCACAGGGTGGTGGGGAAAGTTCACTGCACACCGAGATGCTGTCTCGACAATGTTCCCCAGGCCCTGTGGTTTGGTGTATTCTGGCCCAGACCAGGGCAGGATGCTCTTGGATGGTAGCTGAAGCAATGGTGCTGGTCACACCTGAGCACATCTGGACCATATGTTCCATTGCTGAGCAAGCTGCCCTGTGCACCAATGGTGTAGCTTCCTTCCTGATAGTCCCCAGATCTCCACTTTATCTATTCTCTGCAGGCTTTCTTCTATGGTAAAGGCGTGCCTCTGTGTCCCGAAACAGGCACTTCTCAGGACATTCTCTTCATTCAGTCAGCCAATATTTATTAATGGGCCTCTTGTTTGCCAGCAGCTGGGGAGAGGGTAAGGAACATGGTCCCCGCACCCCAGGAGCCTCTTCAGGGAGCCTGATGCTCAGTTGTCACCCAAGTGAATGTGTAACTTGGAAGACCAGTAGGGAGAATGCAGGTGGTGGGCTGGCCAGGTGCGGACTGGAGGGTCAACGAGGTCTCGCCAAAGAAGTGTGTTTAAACGGAGAGGAATTAGCCAAAATGGTGCTTGTGAAAAGAACGAGCCCCAGCAGATAAACTGGACTCTGCTAAGGTCCTGGGGCTGGAAAGAACCGGGCCCCAGAGGAACTGGAACAGTTGGCAAAACTGCTGATCAAATGAAAGTTTCTGTGTTTTAAAGTCCAGGGAACACCATGGGGGGATCTGAAAACAAGGGGGTGAGTTTGGCTACTACTCTGCCTGGACCAAACACGATACAGGTCCTTACAGGGGCCAGTATGATAGATGCTGCAGGTTCAAGGATTCCCCGTGTACACGCCTACCCACCTCTCTCCCAGTCTGGGCACTGCAACCTCTCATTAGCTTGCTGCCCAGGGAAAGGGACTTCTTTTCCTTACTTTATTATCTTTGCTGATAAAGGTGTCTCTCGTGCACTTTGTTAGTTCCTTATACGCTCATCCTTTCAGAGATGAGCATTGGGATGTGTGCCTTCATTAACTCAAGTGGGAGCCCCTACCTGAGGTCAAGCCCTGTTCTGGAAGGAGTTCACCCTGCCTTTTATTAGTTTCCCTCCTGACTGCTCACTCAGATCTTAGATGAGGCAAGAGCTGGTAACCATGATGAAAGCAGAGAGACTTAGGAAGGCCAGGCTCTGTGTGGGCTGGCTCAGGTGAGGAAACCTGGAAACCTGGAGGTGTTCTCTAGGTTAGCTCTCTGCTGCCGTGCGCTGGGAGAGGATGGGGGCTGACCTGTGGACAGGCAGAGCTTGGTGCTGCTGGGATGTGTGGATGAACCGGAGAGAGTACTGAAAACAGCAAGAGCGGGTCCACCCACTGACTAGGCTGGCAGCATCACAGGCCGAGGATAGTGGGAAGACCAAGACAAGACCAAAGAGCACAGCTATGGACAAGAGCTGAAAGAGCAGAGAAAAAAAAAAAGGAGCATTTGGCTTTAGTTTTCAGGAAGTGTTTATAATAATTTGGGGAAGGGGACCATTGCTCCTGACTCTGAGGAGTTTATAACCAGAGATGGAGAAGAATACGGGGTGAAAACTTGATAGGGGGGTTGTAGGAAGATGTGTTAGAGGAGAAGAGACAACAAACAGTACAAGTGCCATCAAGCTAGAAGCTAGACATCAGTGAGACTTAACGAGGGCAGATGTGTGCCCCTGTTGAAGTCATCTCTCTCTCACTGAGCAGGGTCTGGTGGCTACTCATGAAATATGAAGGGGTGAATCAGAGGGGGTAAGATGGGCCAGGAGAAAGAGGACAAGGGTGTGACCTTTGGAGATGACTCTGGCTAACTTAGAGTTTCTAAAATGAAGAGGGAAGGATGAAGGATTTAGTGGCAGTGTGTATGGGGTCAGAGTGGATCTTATACAAGATTCTTCTCTTTGGAGAAAACCTGGGCAAGGGTAGTTGGTACAGTTAGGAAAAGACATTTCCCAGAGGGGGCCTATTGAGAGCTGGGGTTTCCTTTGAGGGACATGCCTGGCGTTGCCTTAATGGATGGTCCACATTTTAATGAGGACAAAGAATGATGATGACCTTCAGCAGAGGGAGAAGGGAACGAGATTTGGGTTCTATGCCCTAGAGATTATACCTCAGGAGTCTTGTTTATTCCTCATATTGACCTTGAGAAGGGAATATTAATGATGTCATCTTACTGGGGATTTGGGTGTGGGACAGAGCAGAAGCACCTGCCCTGAGGTATAACAGCAAGGCAGTATGAACTCAGAATCACTCGTGGTGTTCTGGGTTGGAGCTACCTTCCTGTAAGATGCCCCTCGATTGCTGGTGAGAAATCAGACGTTAGAGTAGAATGGAGAGCCAGGAGTTACAGGCTGGAAGGTGAAAGAAGCAAGTGTCAGGATGGAGGGGAGTCAATTATGAATGCAGAGAATGGTCAGCTTTCTGACGAAGGAGGCAAACCATGGAATCTGTAGGTCAACAGAGAGCTGGGTCAGGGGCTATCAAGGAAAGAGGATTGGTCCCTGCTAGGCTCCCTATCCTGGCTGTACCTCCTAAAGGTGCTTATCTGCCATCCAGAAGGCCAGTGAGACAGGAGCATAGCCCAGACCAGAAAGGAGGGAGACTCCTGCTAGCTGAAAGCTTGGTGAATGGCTGGTGAAATCCCTGGGAGAGAGCCCTGGAGCTAAGCTAATGTTTTGAGAGTGCCTGATTGGTTTCACATTTAGTCTTTACCATTACCGCCTTCCTCCCAAGCAGGCTGCTTGACTTCCTTTTACCAGGTAGGAAACTCACAGAGCAAGGATTAAACTGCCTTCTTCGAGTACACAAGCTGGTGGGTGAGCAGGCCGCCTGAGAGGCAGCCCCATTCTGCCTGCCTGCAGCAGGGTGGGATAGCCTAGAGGGAGGTGCCCTCTAAGCTTTTCTCTTGCTGAAAAAGACGAGGAGGTCATGGAGTTTGGAAACCTCCAAAGGAAGCTCTCAGAGCCACCCACTTTTACTTACCCAGCACATCTGGTGCTCATGCTGGTTACTGTTACCTCTGTCCGCTCGTACAGTCATCAAAATGCTCCCGATGCTCACATTTTATAGATGGGACTTCAAAGAGGTTTCATCGTTTGACTGAGGCCCCACAACTAGGAAGCAAGTCGAGTCTCTGTTTATATCTCTGCTATGGGAGATGGCGGCTTGTGCGTGACGAGTGAGCAGATTTGGATTCAAGAAGGCAAGAGAGGGGCTGATCACAGGAGTCTAAGCGTGGCCTGGACTCCATGCTTCCCCATGACTAGGCTTTGGCTCTTGCTGACGGACGACTGTTAAGTAATAACCTGATATGGGGAAAGAAGACCAAGCGGTAGTGGCATCCGATTGGAAACCAGCCACCAGCAGGGCCAGGGAAAGCAGTCAGGTCTCTGTCCGGTCACAGCTCTGTGGCCCTAACACTCCGGAGCAGGGTCTCCTGGCTCCTTAATAACATGGATGTGAAATGGATGTCAGTGCCGTGAGAAAGGCATGGATGGAGCAGGAGGGAAGGAGTGGCCTTGGGGTTGGACTCCATAATTATCATTTCCTACCGATGTGTGCTAGTTTGGGGGTGACTGGGCCATGTGTGCCCTTGGTTTAGGGGACATTTTCTTCGCTTTTAGCTTTTAATCACATTAGAGAGTGGGGAGATCTTTTTTTCTTTTAACATGAAGAATTAGTACTCTGAGGTCAGTTCCTAGTGAAATCATGAGTTGAGGCATCTATAACAAGGCAGGTAACCCCTAGGTACGGGGTTTCTTTAGGAAGGACCTTCCATCCTGGAAGGAAGAGAATGCCACTTCTAGGCTCTAGGCCTGTGTAACTGTGTAGCTGTGACATCCAGGCCCAGTTAAACCTCCCAGTTTGAAATGTCTCCCAGTCTGAGCTTTTGCTGTGGTCTGGGACCTGAGCCTCCTCCAGCACTGGGGCAGGGTGTGGACTTTGCAACTCCTTTGTTTTCTTCGCACTTTATCTCACTGGCCTTGTTTGAGTTTTAGCCTCCAGGACACTGCAGGGTGGGAAACCCTGCGGGGCCTGGACCAGGCCTGGGAGAGGGGTGCGGTCAGAGGCAGAACTCTAGATCCGACTTCCTAGAAGTGGAGCCTGAGCATGTGGAGGCTCAGGAATGGGCTCGCAAGTGTTTCCAATTTATTTTTATTGCAGAGCAATATTTGAGGGAAGTGGGAAAGGACCTAGGACCTTGCAACTAATAAATCACTTTTCTTGATGTCCCTGTGTAGCAGTCCCCACCCTTCCGTACATCATTGGAACAGTTGTATAGGCGCACTGGCTACCTGCAGTCCTGTTTCCTGCTGATTAAAATCTCCATTCTTCATAATTGTCATTTTATACAGATACATGGTATTTTCTTCAACTGACTGAATCATATTTTCCCCCTAGCTATTCCTTGGCTGGGGGGGGGGGCATTTACATTGCTTCTGGCTTTTTATTATCATAGGCAGCAAGGCAATTGTGGTGGTTGTTGATTTTTAATTATCTAAGGTAAATTTCTAGGTGTTTGGATTCTCAATGAGACTAAGGAAAAAAAAACTTTAATTGACTTTTGGAAATGATGGCCAAAGTGCTGACTAAGTGATTTCCCTGGGAGTTGTTTTTATAACTGACAGGTGGGGGTGGGATAGACATTTGTCTGGGGGTTGGTGTGAGAAGTAGTTCCTACAGCCAAAGCCATGAGAAATACATGTCTCAATGCCCAGGCTTCTCCCAAACCTTCTTCCTGTGGTTGTGATGGGGTCCAGCACGCTCGGTACCCCTCTCACCTCTCAGACACCTGCGAAGCTTGTTCCTTGGTGAGCAGTCCATTTGAAGGTTTGAGTTTTACGCTTACCCCATATTCCATAACGGGAACCTCCAAGGAGAGTCGGCTATTGTCGGTTTATCTTTCCGCCCTTTTATGACTGACTTTGAGGATTAATCTCTCCATTTTCTCCCCTTCCCAGAGTCCTGTTGAAGAGTAGCATCTCTGAGGCCCACAAGACTTTAGGAGCGAGTGGGTGAGACTGCTCGTGGGAGAAGAGAGCCTGCTCCATCCGCTATCCGGGGAAGCTCGCCATTGCTATGGATACCGAATCCACATATTCTGGATATTCCTACTACTCAAGCCATTCAAAAAAATCTCACAGGCAAGGGTATGTAAGCAATGCCTCAGTCGGCGCTTCTCTTTGGGAACACCTGCAGGTTGGTAGGGATTGCTGTCAGAGGACCAGGTTTTCAACAGCCTGCCCAAAGGGCTGAGGATGTTAAGGGTTCAGAAGCCCGCTGGTATGTGAGAAGCCAAGCTGTAATAAGAGTGGCTGACAGGCTCACAGAGACAGGGCTCTGCCAATTTACATTTTATAGCCGCCATTAGAGTTGATGACCTTAATTTCTCACAATTGGTTTTAAATTAAAGTTTTCCCAACAGTGGAAATGGTTCTCATTTCTGAGTACTTCTCATAGATGGAAAGTTCTCCCAGAGCTTTACCAAGTCTGTGAATGTGAATGAAAGTTAAAAAATTGGTGTTAATTTCTCACTTCACCCCGAGCTGCTGACTCACGGGCCATTAAACATCTGCCCTGAGACTATCTCAGGCATGGGGGAGGGGTGTTAGGGGGTGGGGAGGGGGGCACACCGCACACCCACCCACCGACACCCACATGTGGGCATGATTGGCCTGGCATCTGATCTCTCTTTGACTAGTCTTCCAAGCGAGCAAGCTCAGGATTTGAAAACACTGTCCTGCGTGGTGGGGACCAAGTCTCCTTCCTTGCTGATGGTACTCAGAGGGCCATGTGCGTTCTGGCCTGCAGAATGCTTGCTGAGTGGCGGGACACAGGGACGGATGAACGAACAGACACGTAAATGAGGCAGTGGGTGGCATTGTATTGTGCAGGGTAAGAATACAACAGGTCAGGGGTCTCCTCCTCTGTGAAATGGGTATAGGGAGCCCCTCTCCTAGACTGAATGAGCTATGCTTGGGAAATGAGTAGCTCGGCCATAGTAGGAGGCCTCTCGCTAGTAGCTGTATCCATGCTGTTTAGTCTTGGTATTTCAGCACCTGTGTTCGAAGGTGACCTCTGCCCCTAGCTCGGAGGGCCACTGGCCACAGCTGTGTGCTGTATGGAACGGTTACTGCCCTGGTGCTTGTTTATCTCCCTGAACAGATCACCATATAAGTAGCTGTGCCCAGAGTGAGGTTTCAGGTTAGGATATATGTTTTGTGTCACTCCTGTGTGGATGGCCATACCTGGAAAGAAGCCTCCAAGTGTTTTCTAGGCTGCCGGAGTGACATCTTCAGGGAAGGGGCTCCTGGCAGTGGTGCCTGGGGGGTGGCGACCTATCCACGTAAACTTGACTTTTCTGTACAAATGTGTAGTTTGTAATTTTTTTAAAAAAATGAACGGAGCCCTGATAAGGGAGCAGGGGCCTTTAGTCCTAGCACGTAGGGGTCAGAGGCATGCTAGCTGTGTGAGTTGGAGGCCAGCCTGGTCTACCTGACAAGTAGCCAGTTCCAGGCCAGGCAGGGCTCCGCAGTGAGACCCTGTCTTCAAAAAAAGTAAAACGAATGAGATAAAAACATAACGGGAAGATTTTCAAGACTGTGCTCAGGGGACGACATTATTTTTAAGGAAACAGGCTTCTGGGTAGTTCTTCTTCTTTTTAATTGCTTTCTTTTCCAAACATTCCTGCATTATTTGTATAGCTCCCTATGCTGGAGCCCCACTCTCTTTTCCAGTGAGGACAGAAGGCGCAGAGTAGGCACTTCGGGGGTGACATTCTACAGCCCCGATCCTGAGAAAGTCAGAACCCCATTCTTCCACTGGTTTTTAAAAATGATCACAGATTTTGATCAGTGGGCAAGCTTAAGAGATTTGTTCTAAAATACCAGAAACAGCTGTTTTCAAATATCTGCTTTTTGGACCGACCTGGGAAAAGCAGCTGGGTTGTTGGGGTGTCAGGCTTCCTCACCCATATGGTATGAGTAGGAATTTAGGGTTTCTTTGAAGCAGGAGAGGAGGGTGGCTTGCAAAATTCTGAATGGAGCCAGCCCTGGCTTCTTTTGTTTGCACACCCAGCAAGACGTGCACCTCCCAGGCCCATTGCTGCTTCCTGCTGCTTCCCGGGACCTCCTGGGGTCCCCGAAATGCATGGCTCTAGTGCTGTTATGGGAACTGAAAGAGACTATAACTTTCAATTAAGATGACATGCAGAACGCTTAGTTCTTTCTTGATCCCTTGTGGAAAGTACTTGGCAGCTGCGAGCCGGAGCTGAGGCTTTTAATCAATTGATCAAGGAACACTGTGGAGCTCCTACTGGGAGGCCCGAGTGGAGCTCTGCTTCCCAAGGGCTGATCAGGGAATATTGCTGAGTGCCCATTCCGAGTGGAGCTGAGTGCGGGATTTGAGCTGGAGGGCTGTGTAAGTGCACTGAGTGGATCTTTGAAGCCCCTCCCTCCCTTCTGTTGCATTGTGTTGCCTGAGGGAGGACCACAGAGGTCATAGGAACCACAGGGCAAAGTTTGTACCCCACGGTTAAGGAGCCCTCCAAGGCATGAGAGCCAGCTGCCTCAGGCATTTCTGGTACGAGGAATGCCCTGTAAAGGCTTCTCTGCTTGATGATTTGTGGGGAGTTTGAATGGAGGAGTAGGAAAAGAAAGGGACCTGGTCTTTTGGTAACTTTAGCGCAGCTCCAGCTCAGAAAAGAATAATGAAGTGCCCGAGGACACTGATGGTCTTGGAGGATTGGCCACTGCCCAAGCCCGTTTTCTGACAAAGAGATCACTGATGCCTGCATTCTTCCCAGAGCGTCCAGTTAGTTAGCTTACCGAGAGAGTGGTACAAACTGCAGCCAACCTCGTCTGACCTGTGGGGCTCCTGATGCCAGCATCAAGAAGCATCGTTTTGAGAGTCCCTGCAAGGTCCATCATGGTCACCCTCTCCCATGCTTACAACGGTCCTAGAATAGTGGGGATTGGGCGCACCGCTTTACAGGTGGAGAAACTGAGGCACAGAGAGGAACATGGCTACCAGATATTGGACCCCTTGGCAAGTTTCAGGCTTGTTGGTCCTTTGGAAGAGAATGCCACCTTTGGAAGGAAAATGTGGCTACTGTGTTAAAATGCATTGTTGTAAAGGGCTGCCCAGGCAGTGGTGGAGCCCCAGCCCCGCCCCCCCATCAGCCTCTTTGTTCTCCACACCCAGCAGGCCTGCAGTCCACAGGCAGAGGACAGGTAATGAGTGGGTGGTGGTGGGGGAGGAAAGGGAGGAGTAACCGGTGGGATGGCATTCCCCATTTAGAAACGGACAAGCAACGGAACAGGAGGAAACAGCCTTCCCAGGAAATGGTGACTGTAAGTGGGGACAGTGTGGGAATCTTAGGCATTCCGGCTAAACCGAAGGGGGGTCACAAAGCTAGCAAGTTGCCTAAATGATGATGCATTTGCCTGCGCACAGGGTTGCCTCCTGCGTGCTGCCTCTTGCCCTCCCCACCCTCTCATGCCTGTGTACCCACAGTGCACAGATACACTTATCTTTGCCCCGACAGCCTTATCTTTACTCCTGTGGGCCAAGGAATCAGAAAGACAGATTTAGCGATAAAGATGCAGATTCCTGTGGGTGATGAGGCTGCCCAGCAAGAGCCTCAGGTGAACCTGACCACTTAGGCAGTTAAATCTTGAGTGTGTCTTAATGTTCTATTTATTGGTTTAGTAAACTGTTTATTCCGCCCCCGCCCCCCACCTCCACCCCTGACTCTCAGCTTCATTGGGGAGCTCTCTTCCAAGATAATGGACAGCCACAGTCCCTTTAAGTCACAGCACCAGTTTGCTGTCCCAGGCTGGCCTCAAATTCTGTATGTCACCAAGAGTCACAGGTGTGTGCCATTATGTCTGGTTTTATGTGGTGCTGGGGATTGAACTCAGGGCTTCAGTAAAGCGAGGCAAGCCCTCTACCGTCTGAGCTCCATCTCCATTGCCCCGTTACTGCCTCTGGAGCTACAGAGATGAGCGTTGAGGTATATTCTGCAGTGGAATGACCTCTTAGAGGTTTGTAGTTCTGCAAACTAGAAAGCCCTGGATGGATGATCAACAGTGTTTTTCTTGGACATCACTCTCAAGTCCTGGCTTGACTTGGAGACCTGCCCGGAGCAGTAACTAGCAGCAGTGATTTCTGGAGCTGCCATGTGGTGTCTCACTCCCTTCTATGGTGAGACCAGTACTGGGAGCAGCTAGCTGTCTTGGTGAAGTGCCGATGGGAGCCTCCCTCTTCTGGGTAACCCTGAGTTGGGCTTGTGTGCTTTACTTCATCCGTGCACTACCAAAATTAAAAGATTTATTTTTATTTATGAGTCTGTATTTGGGTATCCTAAAGGTGCTCACAGAACCCAGGAGCAGGAGTTACACCACCAAATACAGGGGTTTGCCAGTCTCTCCATGTGGGTGCTGGGAACAGAATTCAAACCTCTGGGAGAGCAGTAAGCACCCTTAACTGTTGAGCCATCTCTCCAGCTCCACTATTTTAATAAAGACGCACTGTGTATTACAGCGCTACACAGCCGAGCACCCCGTGGTTTTGATCCCCTGCCATTCCCAAGGCTTTTCACATACAGGCAGACTTCTAAGTAGGAATTTCCACAGCCCCTGAAACAGGGGGTGGGAAAGTCCTCAGGAATAATCCTTGCATCACCTGCCTCCTGATGGCCTGGGGTGCTGGTGAGAAAAAAAAGTAGATTTCTGTTGTCTCTCTTCCAGACAAATTCTGAGGGCAGGGCCACCCAGTCTCTGCACCCACGGTGGCTTGTCTGCACAAGGGGTCTGAGAAATGGGAGGCACTGGTGTAGAGTGGCAGGTGCTGGAGGACGGAGCGCTATGTATCAAGTTCCTACCTGGTTCACTTCCGGTGCTCTCCGGGAAGCTGTGAGACTGAGTTGCAAAGATACTGGCTGTTCCCTTGTTAGCGCTCTCTGGGGCCTTTATGAGCCTTGCCAGTTGGGTGGTCCAGAGAGAGGAGTGTGGTCCTTTTTAGTTCCCGTTAGTTTCTGTCTGCTTCAGCCCTCACGGTGTTTAGGAACCAGAAGCTAGCACGAAGTGAAAGGATTTAGTTCCAGAACAATCTTTGCTGTCACAGGATTTGACCTGTGAGGTTTTTCAACAGAGAGCCAGGTTAGATAAGCACGTGACTCAGCCGCTGGTCAACAAGAGAGTGACAAACAGCAGAAGGGCATGGGGTCACCCCAGGGCAAGCTAGGTGCAAGCGGGACCTGGTGGAAAAGCAGCTCTAGAGCTAGCCTGAAGTTCATTCTGAGGACTGACCAAGCTGGGGGAGCAAGAATCCCCCACATTGCTCACAGAGAATGCCTTTTGGAGTGCTGGTATTCGACAGCCCAGAGCGCACAGCTGAGGCTACTGACTGTCACGGCCAATGGTGACCACCAATACTAGCTTCAGAGGCCGGTTTCACAGCTCCAGCAGTGTGATCGCATGGGGGCGTGAACATGAGTGCTAGGAATATTTACGCTATAAAATCTCCAGATTTCGGATATTTAGGAAGAGAAAGGGACCCAGTGGGGCGGAGGAAAGGAAGGTAGAAGAGGGTCAATGTGATCAAAGTTCATTATCTTCATGTATGGAAACTGTCATAGCAAAAGCCCATTGTTTTACATAATTATTTATGCTAATTAAAAAATCTCACTGTTCCCCCGAAACAGTATAACGTAGTAGCTTGAATAGATACAGTGGCAACAGACCTGGCTTCAGTTCCTGTTCTGCTCCTTACCACAACTTCTGGAAGGCACTTAACCTCCGTGAGCCTCAATTTTTTTCATCTGTGAGATGGGACAGTAATACTGACCTCAGAGCCATTTGTTAGAATTGAATGGAGCTAATCCAGTCAAGCTCTCCACAGTGCTGTGTGGCTGGGCCAGAGCAGGGGAAGCTGGCCGCATTACCCAGAGCCCTGGATGAAGAGCTAGATCCTCTGATGTTTGGTTGTCTGGCTCGAACCACACACAGCTAACCTGAGCACTTCTCTTCCTATTGAACAGGCTAAGAACGGAGGTATTGTCGCTAGAAAACTGCCTGCCGTGGGAAACCTTTTGTTCCTTGAAGGAATTGTCTATGGCTTATCCAAGGGAGGGGTTCCCAAGATAGGAGTCTGCCAAGAGATGCCATTCCGTTGTTTTGTTTTAGGGCTTTGTTGTTGTTGCTAAGTAGTAGGTTAATAGGAGATAGACTAGGAGATAGACGTTCAGCAAGGAAGAGGCTTGGTCATGTGCTGCTCCTGGCTCTTTTATTCCCCTTTCTTCAGGACGGCATACTCTCTGTCCCAAGGTCCAGACTCCGCTGTTGCCATTGGCTAATAATGGCCACTGTATGTTGGGTGCTCCCTCCACACCCTTGTACTGGGCACACACACGTTCCCTTGTCTGTGTGACATCCTCATGGCCCCCATTCTGTTTCCCACAAAGGGAAACTGAGGTCAAGTTCCCTGCACAAGGTCACACATCTCATGGGCAGATGGAGAGCTAACTGGCTCTGCACATAGAATAGGAAACCTTGGGTATGAGGGGAGGTGGCAGCGGGAAAGACTGTTGTCAAATGGCACATGGGGACAGGAGGCCGAGGAAACCCGGGTGGGATGTTCGGATGCTGGCCACTGCTTATTGACCCGCCTGTGACCTCTAGGGCTTGGCCACTGTGGCCGATTCCTTTTGTAGTTTTAAGACTTAACAACAGGGTGTCCTCCCACTGTCTCTGGAGGACCACCCACAAAGTCCCTCTGGGGTGCCAGTGTGGAAGGCCTGCTTTTCTCAGGTGGCCTGAAGACACCCTCCCCCCCGGCCCCCAAGGGTCATTTGTTTGTTTCACCTTCTTTGTTCCTATGGGTGTCTTTGAGCTCAGCCAAAACCTACAGGAATGGCTTTCATGTTGGGTTTGTAAGAATGAGAAGTAAATGATTCTCTGTCCGGGTTTAGAATTTCCTCTTTTCTGTCCTTGTCCCCCAAAGTATAGGGTGACATCGTGTCCCAGATTTTTTTTTTTTTTTTGGCCAGACCAAAGTTTAGATATGATGCAGTGTTCTTCTAGTAAAAAAAAAAAATTTCTAATTAGCTTAGGCAAATGATAACCAAATCAACTGAGTAATTATTATAGTGAAATATACCTCACCCATAGTATTTCTAAAATTAGGCTCCGAAAAAAAAAAAGTGATCATTGTTGGTGGAGGAGTGGCCAAGTCTTTGTTTTGGGTTTTAAATTGTCAGAAAGGAAATACTAAGTAGGGGATTCAAGATAATCTTACTCCTTGCAGGGCTGTGGGGATGGGTAGCAACGGAGGATGCCATGTGTACAGGTGGGGGTGGGGTATAGGTATAGGCATAGAATTTCCCTAACATCAAAATAAAATTTATGTTTCGGTGAGCTAGAGAGTAATGAACTTGGCAGAAGTTTGATATCTGATGACTGGATTTCTCCCCAGGGAAAGAACACGAGAAAGACACAAATCTCCACGGAGTAAAGATGGCAGAGGGTCAGAAAAGTCTGTCACTATCCAGGCTCCCACTGGAGAGCCCCTGCTGGCCAATGACTCTGTCCCCACAGGCGCAGAGGAAGTTCAGGTAAGGATCAAAGGCACCTCCGTGGGCAGGATGCCACTCGGCCCCGCCTCCCCTCTGCAAACGTTTTTTTTTTTTTCCTAAGTCTTGTTGCAGTAAGTTCTCTTGGGTTTTTAATTTTTATTTTTCTAACATCTTAATGAGTTTATCTATTTTTCTGGTTTTCCTGCTGGTCTAAGAGACATGTCCTACCATTGGGTAGCTTGGGGTCCTTCTGAAGTGTGATTGGTGGCTTCCCTTGAATGATGTTGGGAAGAAGCCAGCTTGGCTGATGACAAGTCAGAAAAGGGAAAAGTTCCAGGCAAGAGTCCCTGGAGACTCATTCCAAAATGGAATGGAACTGGAGAGGGCGGGAAACTCCCTCCCCAAAAAACACCCAAGGAATGCTTGACACTGACGAGAGAAGACAGCCTAGAAACTCGGAATATGAAGAAATCAAGTCCTTGGCTCTCCGATGGCAAGCATGGAAATCTGAATGAATGGGATACTAGAGTCAAAGATCAGAATCAGAAATATGTTCAGCAAACTTTGGGGTTAGTAGCTGTGGTCTTTGGGGTGCCTTAATGTCAAGGCTATTGGTTGGTGCTGGCATAAATTGGAGAAGGGGTTTCCTCTGGCAAGACACCACAGCTTCCCTCCTTCAGACCACTGCCACTCAGGACTGCAGGAATTCAGGTTTACTAGGCCTGGCCTGTTTCAGAAATATTAGCTTTAGGACCTCATATGAAGTCAACCAATTTTAAAATATCAACACTTTATTACTTTAAAAAAATGTGTGGGATCTTTTTGGAGTTCCTACTGTCTGGCAGCCTACTTGATTTAAATAACCATCTGAGCTGTACTCAGAAGTATGTTTGCACACACACACACACACACCCATGTCTGAAATATTGCATGCCCAGCCTTGCCTCACACAAACAAAGCAATGCACAAATTCACAGCCATAAAGATATAGGAACAGAGATAAGCATATACCCATGCACACCTGTAGGTACCCACAGATAGGCATTTATAATCAGATAGGAACCCTGAAACTACAATCCCTTCAAGGCTACAGATGCCATTGGGACTGATAACTATGCTTCCCCACTGAATGTGGGGTTTGTTCAGTAGCGAGCAAATTCTTTTAATACTGTTTGCTGCTTGCTTTGGTTCTAAGAGGACAGATGGATGGATGGATGGATGGATGGATGGATGATGGGAAGATGGATAGATGGTGGATGAATGGGTGATGAATGTGTGTGTGGATGGATGGATGAAGGATAGATGGATGACGGATAGATGTGGTCAGTCTTATGACTGGATCATCCTTAAAAGCCTCATGGGTCAGTTTCCCCCAGAAGTGGATTCGGAGGTGCCAGTAACCCACCGTGTAGGCTTTTCCTTCTTTGTACCCTGAGCTCTTTGGGAAGCTGTTGATGTTTTCAGCAGGATGGTGTGATGGGAAGGACTTTTGGAGGTTGTGTGTTTCAGCAGCCATGTTAACTTTGGGAGCTACAACTTTTGTTGGTCTCAGCTTCTTTACCAAAAATCTAGGGAATTCGATTGGCGAAGTTCAGATGCATTTTTCCTCCCTGAAGACCTCAAATTTGAGAGACGCCTTTGTACAACTATACTTTTTTAGACAGAGATGTGCATGGGTTTGTAAAATGAGCAGGCATTTTGTTAGCCACTCACTGGCAGGAAGTTATGTGCACAGCCGAGTCAGAGCAGTGCTATTACACAACAAAATGTCCACATGATATCAGTACTATTACCTCAGCAGGGCTATCAGTCACGTGTGCAGAATCCAGCGTTTGTCTTCCCGAGACAGTGCTCCAAGGCCAACTGTTTCCTACAGCCTGGGAATTTGTCTTATATTGCAGCAAGTTGTATGTCTTTCTGCTTTGTTTTCTCCCGCTGGTGTATTCTTTCTTAACTGACCTAAATTCACACGCAGAAATCAAATCGTTCTCAAGGGTATACTTTGATGGTTTCAACAGATGAACCCACACCCTTCGGCTCAGAAAATTCTCCTGGCTCTTCGTAGTTGATCCGCACCGCCATCCACTCCTCTCCAGGGCAACCGCTATTTTGATTTCCATCTCAGTGAATTGGTTTTGCCTGTTGGAGAGTTGAATATAATTGGAATCATATGAGGTTTTCCCCACTCAGCATGATGATTTTGATATTTATCCATGGTCTATGTGTTTCAACAGTTCACCCTTTATTATTTCTGCTGACTAGTATTCCAGTGAATTGACCACAGTTTGTTATCTGTTCTGCTGGCGGGTGGACCTTGGAGGTATACACATTCTATAGTGGATTAAGCTCTTATGAATATTTTCATAAGTTTTTTGTGGACATATTTCCATTAACTTTTGATAAAACCTAGGAGTCGAATTGCTGGGCCGTGTGGTAAATATATATCTAAATTCCTGTGGAAGTTTCAGGCCCGTTTTCTGGCAGTGGTAAACCATCTTAAACCTCCACCATCAATGCCTGGCTGCTTCTGGCCATTGTCTGTGGTCATTTCTCTCTAACACCCCATGATACCTCTGACTTCCCAAGTTGATAACCTATGTGTTCCTAGATTAAAATCTTTACTACTCACCCCTAGTATTTGTTGATGTGTTCATAAATTTATGATTTTTAAATGATAAAACAATATTTCTTAGCCTGGATCTTTTAAACATTAAATGTGATGTTCTTATTGATTCTTTAAGAATTTTACACATGCATACAATTTATTTGATCATATTCACTCCTCCCAATAACTTTGCCCACATCCACTCTCAACTTCTCACCCCTCCCAACTATACATCTTCTTCTTTAAAGAACTTACCTAGTCCAGGATATGTGTTTGCGTGAGTCATTCCCTGGAGTGTTTTCAATCTGCTATGGGCCAAACCTTGAAACAAACAACTGACTCTCTCACCTCCAGAATCCATTAGCTGCCCAGAGCTCCTCAGTTAGGAGTGGGGACTTGTGAGCCCCTTGCCTGCTCTGTGCTGGAATGTTGGCTGGCTTGATTCTGTCTAGGCAACACAACTCTGTGAGTTCATGAATACAGGGTCCTGTCGTGTTCCAGAGATGCTGTCATCCTGTTTCCTCCCTGATTTCTGGCCATTACAGTCTTTGCTTCCCCTCGCCTGCAGTGGTCCGTGAGCCTCATACAGAAGGGGTATGATACAGATGTCCCGTTTGTGAGTGAGGCACATTTTGGTTTTGCTCTAGTTCCGAATTTCTGTGTTAATTACCATACACACACACACACACATACACACCCTTCTGATGAGGTCCGAGAGGTAAAGAGATGCGACTTTAGAAGGCACTTGGATATTATATCCGTTTAGCAGAATAACGGCAGTGGTGTCCCCTTGAGGTCTGTGACCTCCCCAGCCATGGGTTCTTGGCCACATTGGCTTTAAGTCCAATCAGAAACTAGTTGGTTACCATCATAGCATTCATGCCACTATTGCGGCCATGGGCCTCTCTTCCTACACTGGCCATTATTATAGCTCAGAGAGTTCACAGCTGAGTCAAACTATTGATGATTCCCCCACCCCCAACTCCCCAATTGCCTGCACAGCATCTTCTGTACTAGAAAAACTAGCCAGCAGGGAGGATTCTTTGTCAGTGCCTACTTGGTTTTCCCATTCCCTGTGACCAAAGGATGTGATGTCTTAGCAGTAAGGGTCTTACCATCAGCTTCTGCTGGGTACACACACCCAGCAGTGGCCTTTTTATTTGGTAACCCGTGGCTTCTGGGAGGAGCTTGATGCCTTGTGTAGGATGATTTCAATTAAACTCTTTTATATGAATAAACATGTTTGTGAAGTTTATAAAATAATAGTTATCCCCCCCCCACTTAGACTTCCCTTTCCCTCTCCCCTTCCTATTGCCTGTGTCCTACACACCCCCTCCTTTAAGATCCTTCTTCTTCCTCCCCACCAGTGGTCCCTCTCTGATGGGTACTCCAAATGAAACACACAAATCCAAAGATTCACTGCTAGGATCCACAGATGGGTGAGAACGTGGTTTGTTTGGTTACCAGTGATTATGCCGCTGTTTTATCCATGCACTGAAACTACACCTGGCATAAGCTGATGTCCTCATTCCACCACTTTGCTACTGTATACGACTTAAGTTTTTTCAGTTAAATCATAATGTGTGGAACTCACATGGTCCCTGGTGCCTCCTAACTCTGTTGTGCCCTGAGATAGAGTCCTAGTTGCCAGAAAAACCGTGGAAGTATTTAACAGACTCTCGTTGAATGAACAGACCAAGCGCTCCCACTAGCAGCTACCTAGAAGTTTAAAGGAAGAAAGCAATGGGATTAAAGATAGAATAACCATAATAACATGTCATGCCCCGATATTCCTACGCCCTTGCTGTTTAGTTTATCATGAAAACATGTTTCAGAAAGAACTTTTGAGCTGATCTGGCCATAGATAGAGTTCTGGATTTTCTTTACTTAATCAATGAGAAATGTTATCAAAGAATTCTTATTGCTACTCCTCACTGAAGTAAATCCTATAAATGTCACACAGAAGTTTAGATAATGTGGGATTCCGCTGTGGGTGCGTTTGAACTCGTGTGATGTGATACACATTCCTTTTTTATGCCCTCTGCTCTGCAGAGCTACTGAAGGTGAGATTTGGGCTTTGTAAGCCTAGAACTTAGCAGGGGGCGGGGTGCACTGGTATGTAGTAGTGGGTGACGGGCGGGGTGCACTGGTGTGTAGTAGTGGGTACTCTCGTAACACCTTCACTGCAGCTTAGTCTAACAACTGCTAGTCAAGTCGGAGCAGAAAGGCCAGGCCCCTGGGCTTCTCAGGACTTTCCAACCTGAGGGATGACAGGGCATCACAGTGATGGATCACCCAAACAAACTCAAAGGTTAGATTATGTTTTCTGTGTTCAAAGGACAAATATAGAATCTGTTTCGAAAATGTCAGTAAAAATCGCTAAAGTTTAAAAACGTCCCCGTATTAAAAGCTGATTCTAGGGGCTGGGGAGATGGCTCTTCCCGAGGACCCAGTTTCAATTCCCAGCACCCACATTAGCAACTCACAACTGTCTGTAACTCCAGTTCCAGGGAATCTGGCATCCTCACACAGACACACATGTAGACAAAATACCAATGCATATATAATAAAAAATAAATCATAAAAATGAAAAGCTGGCAGTACTTCCGCTTCTGAGAAGGGCGGATAACCGAAGTGTCTTTCTTTTCTGTTTTATATTTCTATGGTTTTTTTACAAATCCCCCTCTCTGCCTTCTCTGCCATCAGGATGACAACTGGGGAGAGACCACCACAGCCATCACGGGCACCTCGGAGCACAGTATATCCCAAGAGGACATCGCCAGGATTAGCAAGGACATGGAGGACAGCGTGGGGCTAGATTGCAAGCGTTATCTGGGCCTTACTGTCGCCGCATTCCTTGGACTGCTCGTGTTCCTCACCCCCATCGCCTTCATCCTGCTGCCCCCAATCCTGTGGAGGGAGGAGCTGAAACCCTGTGGCGCCATCTGCGAGGGACTCCTCATTTCTGTATCGTTCAAACTGCTTATTCTGCTCATTGGAACCTGGGCACTCTTCTTCCGCAAGCAGAGAGCAGATGTGCCGCGGGTATTTGTGTTCCGAGCCCTTTTGTTGGTCCTCATCTTTCTGTTTGTGGTTTCTTACTGGCTTTTTTACGGGGTTCGCATCTTGGACTCTAGGGACCAGAATTACAAGGACATCGTGCAATATGCAGTCTCCCTTGTGGACGCGCTGCTTTTTATCCACTACCTTGCCATCGTGCTACTGGAGCTGCGGCAGCTACAACCTATGTTCACACTGCAGGTGGTCCGCTCTACCGATGGAGAGTCCCGCTTCTACAGCTTGGGACACCTGAGGTAAGGGGCGTGCACACCGAGCAAAAAGGATGACCTATAACTAGAAGACAGCAGGTCCTCGGCCGGCCGGGCTGAGATGCAGTCCTAGATATAAACGCTACAACTGGGGCCGGACTCTCTGGCTCTAGTAGGGGCTGTGTGAGGTCAGGGGTCTCCATGCCTTCACACTGGGGCTCTTGACTGTGTTCAGAGTTTTATCTGACTCATTCCCTACCTCTGGCAGTTTCCGGAGTAGCAGAGAAAAGATAGGCATAGTGACAACTACCTACCTTGCCGGAAAACTTGGCTTATGGATGATAGATAAGGTGACTATTCCATTTTGTCCAAAATGATGCTTCAGGTACTTGCTATACCCAAGTTTTGGAATCATCCTAGCTGTCCACTGGCAGATGAATGAGTAAAAAAAAATGTGGTGTGTGTGTGTGTGTGTGTGTGTGTGTGTGTGTGTTAGAATTTTATTTAGTTATAAAGAATGAAATTATGTCATTGGCAGGAGAATTGACAGAATCGGGGGTGATTGTGTTAAGCAAAAGTAAGCTAGACCTACAAAATAGGTAATTCCAAGGGTGGGAATGGTTTGGTTTTTGTTTGTTTGTTTTTATAAAGGAAAGTAAGCACTCTATGCTGGTTATCACTGTGGAACCTTGTGATATTATTAATCCCAGTGTTTTGGACGCAGAACTGGGGATAGAGGGTGTAAGTAATTTGCACAACATAGCATGTCCGCCTTATTTGGATTCCTCTCATGTCCTGGGGCTGAATTGGTGATCCAGTTATGACATCTTTCCTTCCCTGTAGCAGCTTACTCTTCTGTTTGTTTCCTTCCGTAAATTGTGAGATCTCTGAGACCACAAGCCGTGTCTTACTCCTTCTGGCACCCTTGTTGCCTGGCATGGAGCATGGTACACAGTTGGCAGTCCTGTGGTCCTTGGGTGAGTGATCCAGTGTGGCGGTTTAAATGAGAATGAGCCCTATAAATGCCCATATATTCAAATGCTTGGTCCTCAGTTGGTAAAACTGTTTGGGAAGGATTAGGAGGTGTAGCCTTGTTAGAGCAGGTATGTGGCTTGGAGGTTTCAAAACCCACGGCATTTCCAACCGTCTGTCTCTTCTCTCTGCCACTGCCTGAGGGAGACGTGAGCTCGGAGCTGCATGCTCCCTGCTATGATGATCATGGACTCTCACCCTCTGGAACTGTGAACCCCCAAATTGAATGCTTTCTTTTATACATTTCCTTGGTCATGGTGTCTCTTCACAGTCATAGAAAAATAACTAAGTCACCTACCTTGGATATCTGGCTTTAAAGTTTCACTGGCCTGAGCAGTAAATGTTGATACATGTCACATGGCAAGCAGCCAGGACCGGTGAAGACACTTTGGTGGCTGCCAGACTGGCTTTGTCATTGTTTTGGCTACCCACAGAGGTGGCCCTGCCCCAGTTTGGAGTCAGATCCCACTGTCCAATCATTGTCACATTGGCATGTACTCGCATCCATATCTCTGGCTCAGCTCATACTGCCTGAGGACTAACTGGTTTAGTGTTCAAGGCTGCAGCCACCATGATTGATTCTCAGAGGAGTTTCTGTTTGGATGAGTGAGCCGTGCAGTGTACGTTGGTGTTTCAAATCCTCCAAGGGAGCAAGTAAAGCTCCGGATGCAAATAAATCAGTAGGGCACTGGAACCTTAGAGAGCTTTCTTCTCTTTGTACTCGAGAGGGACCCCCATGATTATTCCTTACAGAACCCAAGCCCAGAGTTTCCTGCAGCTCCCAGGCACTTGGAAAGAGGCTAACATATGGCTTTTAAGTGGGCAGTTGCTGTGCCAGGCCTAAAGATAGGGGACTGGGGCACAGGAGAACAGGGGGTTTCCAACAGGGCAGCTACAAAGCCTATTGGGAAACAGTCTGTCTCTGAGGCGAATTTTGCCAAAGTCATCACTGTGCGGAGAAACTTGTGGTCCTGGAGCTGGGGAGCAGCATTCGGGAGTGTGGCAGCCGTAGGCTGTGAATGAGACCAGATACAGCTTTGCGTCTCGGCCTTCCTTCTGATTACTGTAATTCCCAATTGCACAGGGAAGGGTGAACTCTTCCTCACCGTAGGCCAGAGAGCTGAAGCAGGGTTGGTCCCTCCCCCTGGCACGGTGCTGGTCTTATCGCCTGCGCCTGCTGATCCATGGGCTAAATCCAGTCCAAACCCAGCAGTGGCTGGAACAATCACTGGGCCAGAAATATAACTTCTGAGCCCTTTTGTGAATTTTCAAGACAGGAGGGAAGCGGGGTGCAGGATGGACAAAGCAAGCTCCATACATCAGAATAGTCAGAATAGCAGGTTTTCACCAGACCCAACCGAACCCCAGGCCCTTCCGTTTTCCCTTTATGCAAAGCCTTTGCTGTGCAGTGACCTATTGCGCTTGTGGCCGAGCAATGGGGAGCTCTTTCTTCCCTGTTCAAAGGTGGTTTTCCTGAATGGGCTGAGCTATTTTTGAGAGTGTTCAAAAGAATGCCTCCTCCTCAGGTTCATAAAGGAAATGGTCTTGTTAGCGCTGGTAAAAGGCCCCGGCTGTGGCTTCCCTCGTGGGCAGGGATCGTTTGGGGTTTATTTGAAAACCTTCCGAAATGGGAGAGATCATTGTTGCGGGATGTGAAGTTCCAGAAATAGATGTAAAATGTGAACTAACCTTTAACTAATGCCTCGGGAGCTACTAAGGCTTTTCATGCTTGCTTAATTTACCTCACCTCTGGGGGTCAGAGCTGGTGGGACTGGCATACAGCTTTTCCCACTGAGGGCAGGTTAAGGGACCTGTTTATGGTCACTGGCAGGCAGCACGACCTATGTTCTCTGTGGCACCTGAGGTGGGTGTGGAGGTCAATGTCAGCTGCTCGTACACATTCCACTGGTCACTTCTTTGGCCCAGTTCTCACAGTGATTTGATAAATTTTCTTTAACTTTATTAGAAATGTATTTTTTAAAAGCTGACTTATGAGGGGAGTAACACAGAAGAATATGGGAGACAGGTTTTAAAATGACCGTTACTAACTTCAGTATTTTCTGTGTCTTAATCTTTAAAGCAAAACTCCATAAATATTGGAGCAGGCACTGATGTAGTTGACAGCAAGTAGCTACCTAGCTGTCTGTTTGCCATCAGATGCCTTCTCACCTTTGAATGCAAAACTCAGTTTTTAGGACAATCCTGTGGGGGAGGCACTGTCTTCTTCACCGGCAGATGAGGAAGTGGAGGCACGGAGGCGTTTGCCATTGTGAGAGACAACATTTGAGCCCCGACGGTGTTGTTTCAGAATGGCCTTAACCACTCCTGGTACTGGCCCTAGACGGAGGTTTTGTGCTCACGTTCATGGTCCTGCTGTAAGTGCAAGCACCCTGTGTGAGCTTGTGTACGCCTGGCAGGTGTTAGCTGATGCCGTGGGTGCTGCTGTATTCGTCCGGCTCTTTGGAGCGGAGTGGAGAGGATGCAGATGTCAGGCTGGCTTTTTCTCTCTGGTCCGTTGGCTCCACCAGTCCTTTAATTTACCAGGTGACAAAGGCTGGGCCTTGGGGCTGCCGCAGTGTGTTTGAGGCTCTGGTTGGACCCCTTTTTTACCTTCTCTACTTTACCTGCTTCAAGGATGCCTTTGCCCTGGTTGCATAAAGCAACCATCATTTTATTTCTAACAGTTCTGCAGCGTGGGATGGACTCAGCTGGGTGGTTCTCCCGTAGATCTTGCCTGGGTCCCTTTGCAATTATGCACACATATGAGCCAGCATGGCTGTGCCTTGCTTTCTTTCTGTATATCCCGAGACACTCTCCATCTCCTCATGGACTCTTTATTGCTTCTGCGTTAGTATCTAGATATCCATGGCAGCTCAAGGATTCAAAAGATATCCAAATAGTTCTCAGGCACTGAGCCCGGCATCGCTTCTGGTGTGTTCTTCCTTGGTGAAAGCAAGCCCAGATATAAAGAGTTTGTGTTGGCCCGGTTTGAGCATGTTGTCAGTCATGGTGGGGTAGTCATGGCTACAGGAGCTTGAGGTGAGTGCTCCCATGGTATCTACAGTCAGGAGGCAGAGAGAGATGGATGCTGGTGCTCAGCTCACTTTCTCCTTCTTCAGCCCAGGACACCAGCCCTTGGTGAACCCAATCTACTTCCTCTCCCATAGCCCTGCTCAGAGGCCAACAGTCTAAATAATCTCTTCCAGGTTTATCTCCTAGGATCTCCTGGATCCTGTCAACACCTACCACCCCAGGCTCCTCGTTCCCAGTCTGCTAGACTTTATTTTGCATATAGCTCTGACATTAATTTCTCTATGTTAAAGGACTAGAAGTAGGTTACAAGTGGGGACAAAGTGCTTCTTTGGGGTGCTGCACAAATATGAATACCTTGTTGATAATCATTGTCAGGAAGAGAGAAAAGGAACGCACGGATGTCCATGCAACTCCCAGCAAGCACCCTGTAGCTTTTAACTGTCTTTTTCAGTGCTTCATTCACTAAGACTATGAGTACCTTATAAATTGCCAGTGAACATGAACCTCTTCATCACAGGGCTGGTACCTAACCAGAGAACCTTCTATGCTTTATAAGAAGTGATTCTGGAATCGCTTTCTAAATCATAGCAATATATGAGTATATACAGCTGTTGGATGGCTTTGTTGAAAAGGTGGTTGGTTTTATGTTCCTTCTTCCACACATACAGGGATGCCCTTGCCCCTAATGTGGCAGTATGTGGAGATGGGCTCTAGTGAAATAACCGGCTCATTTGAAGCCATAAGCTAAGAATCTAAATAGGATTAACGTCCTTATGTACAGGGATACCAGAACACCCTATTCTATTTCCACGTGCACACAAACACAAGCCATGTGAGACAGTGAAGACAGCCATCTGAAAGCCAGGACAGGAGCGCTCACAGGAACCGAATTGACTGAAACCTTGATGTTGGCTTCCAGGCCTCAAAACTGTGAGAAAACGATTTATGTCATGTAACTTACCTGGGCTCATCCACGTTAT